TACGAAGTTGTGCATCGTTTGTTGATTAGAGGTTAAATGATCGGTGGTAACACAACTGCGTTCCTTTAAGACGAAAAAGAATAAACCATTATGAAAGTGAATCAACTAAGTTGATTAAACTTCCATGAAAATTATCACTGCGCATCCTGAGTAATCCGATGGCAAGTGAAGATATACGATCCGTGATAGAGAGTCTGATCAGCCTGATGACAACTAATCATTGATAAGTCCTTGGAAGTCTCCATTGGCACATGGTGCCTTCTTTCCATGCCATTTGGTAGTCCACACAAAAGGAAAAATCCTCATCCAGGCAGTACTGAATGAGACAAGCTACATATCCGGAGAGTTCCGACTAAAACCTACCTCGAACGTGCCAGAGCAGTCCAGAAGGCAGCGACCCAAAATACACTTGACAGAAACACTGGCAGTATGAGGAGCCGGGGGACAATCCGAGGCTGTTGTGCATTCCGCAGCGCAGATCGCGTAGCCTATTTCAGGGTCAGGGGTCTACATGGGAAAGGTCGAGGACGCTTTCACGTGATCAGCCTACGCTGATGACGAATTTGCTCTGTTGGTTCGGGCAATCACAGCTCCCGACCATTCTTCCTCCGGACCAAGTGCAATCCGTGGGTTTGCCGTAGTATGGCCGACCCGAGTCCCACACCAGTCCACCAGTATCTGACACGAGTATACAGTGATCGCTACAGGATTCCAGATGCTCCTTCACCAGTATTCTGGCCCTGGTCGATGCTCCCGTCATACGACCTAATCGAACAATTACTTCGAGTTCAGTCAATGAAGTCGTAGCTGTTCTCACTGCTCGGGGGCTTCCACACTCAATTTCCTGATATCGTACCCGCTGCCCAAGACAGTGAACAAAGCGATGAGAAGAATGAAGGAGTACATGACGTATGTAAATACGCTATATCAGTGACTTATTGGCTATTCGGTCCTATTTTTATACTAGGCCGCAAACTCTAGGGAGACGGCTTTGCGTACTCCAGGGGTGGAGAGCCCTGGATGTTCAAACTTCTTCACAAACTAACAGAATTCGTGAATCGCAATTCATGCACGGGCGACCTGTATACACTGAGAGTTGAAAATTAAAAGCTTCAAATTGAACGAGCCGTGGAAATTGACTGTTTTTTCCTCAAACAGTGTCGATGTGGAATTCTAAGTTAACGAGTGCGAGCAGCCAACCTTCGGCTGCACACAGTAACTGTGCGCATCCGTGCCATGTTCCCCGCCCCAGATCGTGCCCCATCGGCTAATTGACTGCTAGATGCCATTATGGTCTCAAGGGAAATCAAAGGATACTAGCGTACAAACAAGTAAATCTCATGAGACGAATAAGGCTCGGGTGAGGCTAATCACCTGTCATACTGCACGTATATTCATTGTTCTACTCTGACCGCACAAAGCTGTGCACCGACAATCCTACTCGACATGCCCCCCGGATGGACGGGTATTGAAATAATGACATTCTAAGATGTCAGACTTATTAATAGGACCCTGATACGGACCCGCAAGAACAAGTTGCAGAGTGGTCCGGCCGACTTTGCCATACACACGATAGACTGTGGAGCCATAGGAACCACCGCGACCGGAGCTACTAGGCTCGAACATTGTTCGAGTCGAACACTACTACTACCATATGACGGTTCGATCATGGAAAGTGGTTTGTGGCGACTCCCTCCGAGG